AGCACAGCTCGGGTGCGAAGTATAGGTCAAGTAGGTCAAATACTGCACCGAAGGGTGATGCGGGTCATCATTACGGTGATCAGCCGCCACCTCAAGACAAGCATCATCGATACTATCAGTATCATCCAAAGGCTCATTATCGTATTGTCTTTGAGGAGGTCTGCGATGTTCTCCATCAGGAGACATCGTTGACTCCAATATTCAGCTATCTCTCCCGGTTGGCACTAGGTATGGCGAGTCAGTTGGGTTGTGATTGTAATGTATTTTACTGACAGGCATCGGTTATCTGGCAGTATTACAATTTCTTCACGAGGCTGGCTGGGTGCACCGCAATCTCAGCACCAGCAACATATTCGTCTCAAACGGTCAGGTTAAACTGGCTGACTTCGAGTATGCGAAGCGGTTAGATGATCAGGCTGATGCTCATGAGATTCGAACTGTGAGTCGCCTTGTAGTGACCGATTCAGGGTAGCTCTAAGACTATGTTTCGGTACGTCAGGGTACTGCTAACTTCATATCCGTTGAAGTGGATCGGCAAGAATATTTCTTCGCGTCCACTAGTGGCATTTCCACGATGGAGTTGGCCGCAAGGCTCCAAGCAGAAGATAATGCTTTACAGACACTACAGCAAGAGCTTCTTCAATCAGATGTTGTATTCCGTTACAATCCCATGCACGATTTTGAATCGCTATGGTGGATCTCAGTTCACATTCTGTTCAACAAGAGGGTTGATACGGTCAACGGAAAGATTCCTCCACTCCACAATCATCAGAAGCAGCAATTGTGGGCAGCAAGCGTCTTTTATGGATTGGCTTCCCGACAATCTGCCCTGAGTGCTGGTAATACCAACTTCCGATCTGCTATCAAAACTCTATGCCCGGACCTGCATAGGTTTGGCATAATGGTCAACGCGCTTAGGGGTGAGCTTTTGAAGCGTTACATGGACATCGAAGCGGATATATCGAACCTACATCGTCATACAACAGCAGGTGAAATACCGCGACAATTCATCATGGGCTTTGGTGCGCTTGGATGCTTGAAGTCTACCGGAAAGCATCGGGAGATCCTGATTGGCCTGGTTTCGCATTAAGACTTCAACGTGTCTGCCGAAGCTGTAGTGTTACCTGCGCTTCCGGAAGGGCGGCCAGAAACAATGAAAGGTGGACCGGCGGCAGCTTCCACACGAATATCCGAAACATTTGGTTTCCCATCCTCTTAGGCAGCAGCATCTTAAGCGACTCCCTGCTGAGTCTCGTATCAGAATACAAACTCGCTCGATGACTACCAAAGCAAGGGCCCGAGCTCAAGAGTCCTTTCCGAAGACTCGGTAGCTGGGTGATCCCACCGAGCAGTTTTATGAAGTGATATGTATCAATGCTTGATCCCCCCCACATATTCCCCTTCTCACTGAATGCTTTTTCTATCCCACCTTGTGGTTGTTGAATATGCGGTCATGCCGTGCTGATCTCCCACTAGATGTATATCTGCTACGTATCATAACGCTATTGTATTTTAATATCCCTGAGTCTGAAACGTACATATCTGATTGAACGGTCAGATTTCCTCGTAATACTAATACTCGTAATGCCTCCCATCATCACGCATTGGTGTATATAGCACTCACCCCGGCGTTCATTTTTCTCAATGATTTGTTTATGCCACCGCGCAGGGGCCCTTGACACCCATTAAACCGTATTTGACATGACCTCTGTCTGCGTACTTAATTCTTTTTATACCTCTCGAAGCCGGATGGGCAGGGGCCTGATTTGACGCGCTTTATTATGCTTATTTTTGATTCCTATCTCTTCGTATCGACGTTCGTATGCACATATGATATTGGGGATCACTGGAGTATGGCTAGCCACTTGGAATCTTGGTCTGAGACTCTGACAACGTGAGTGTGCAGTCATGCCAGTCTCGCACTGAACGCCCAAAGATCTGTGAGATGTATCGTGCGAGAAGCCTGCACTGCGGTTAGAATTTGGTCAGCCGGAAACATCGACCTCGAATATCAGAGCCGGGATCAAAGCGGCACAGGAGCAACATTTTCGTGGGTCTCGCGTCAAGATAGTGGAAGGCACTCGGATGCAGACTCGTTCGATGACTGCCAACGAAAGAGCTGAAAAAGCCATTGCGATAACTCGATAGTCGTTAACTGAGAGCTGAGTGATTGCAAAGCTTACTTCCCCTCCCGCTCGAGTCCTGCATCATCTCTGTACACTCAGTGCCTTATGCTTCATTAGACATCACGCTCATTTTTGATGCTATACTTACTGCCGTGCTGGTCTACTGGGCGCTGAATGTGTGTTTACTGTCATATGTGTTGTTCTGCAATGTAACTCACACTTCGCACAGGATGAATTTAGCATTCTTGAATCGCGACCATTAGATCCTCATGCAGCCCAATTCGAAAATACTTATTATCAATGCGGAAGACATCCGAGGAGAGAGACACCGTGCGTACGATATGGGCGCGGCCGACTGGCCATCAGACTCTTCGCAGGACATGCCAGTCACGCAGTGGGTCACCTCGCCGGCCACACTCAGGCCACTATATAAAGTCATAAATGGTTTGGTGCGCCAACAACTTCTAAGGTGTCTAATGTTCTTGACATCCGCAGTATATCGCATCTGGATCACATTACATGGTCAAAAATGACATTCAGTGATCTGAGGTCTGAGCTATGCAACTCTCGGAAGCTCCAATCATATACCTCCTCCAGAACGTCTTCTCGTGCCCTGAAGAAAAATATTCGTACTTGTGAATCGAGGAAGGAGCTCACTAGGAGGACATTTTTTGAGTGGTATAAAGTAGCAAAGACATGTATACCATCACATACCACCATTCAGCCAAAACTTGACCTCGGGTCACGCTGATAAGATCTCCTCTTATCCACAAAAGACCAGGATCATGGGTATGTATCAGCACGAGAATCAATGAAGTCGCCTTGCATTAGGGTTAGGGAAATCGATTCCTGACTTCATCATTGCGCGATATCAATCTGCGGGTAATCAACAGGCAAGGCCCACGAGCTGGGAAAACCGTGGTGATTGGTTCAATTTTTGAGATCCTGACAACGTGCGGTCACAGTCCTGTCGTATACATTGGAAAACCTCCAGCACTGCTCTCGGAATTGGCAAAGGAGTATGCATCGCCTCAAAAGCATACTAACCTCTCCGGAGTCGATGTTCAGGACGATGCAAACGCGAAAAGCAGGACTAAGGAGCCTTCGAGGACACGAGCACCGCCGATTCTTGCACCTTAACCACCACCATCTCCGTTAGACGCCCGCCGCCATGTCGCATTCCCATTCCCGTTCCTACTCTACTGGTGCACCCAATGCCGAAGACAGTACGCCTCAACGCACTGTGGGTCGCCCGCACGCCGCGGGTGGCACCGAAGGCCCCCGCTTTTCCCCATACCCAGCTCCGTCTGGGACCTCTCGTGCAGCGTCGCGCACGCATACCCCTGTCCATGAGGATGAGACAATCAGGACATTGATCTTTGACATCTTCACCCGGGACCCCCATGCCACGGTCTCTGACCAAGGCCTCCCCAATCCTGCCCAGGATCCCAACGCGATGCGTGGGGACGATGAGGGGGATCTGAGCGATCTCACTGGCGACGAGCAGGTGAGTGATTATCCTGGCGCCTATCCGATAAGGATTGACGCCCTACACCCTCAGCATTCGAAAGCAGTATCGCGCACAGAGTCGCCGGTCCCTGTACCGAATACGAGGGAATACTTCCTCACTCAGCAATAC